AGTAATATTTGTTTCAGTCTGTGAGGAATGCACTTTTTACTTTGTGTTTACATAGAAATGTTTGAATGTAACTATTTATATACTTTTGAACTTGTGGAATGCACTTTTTTCACTTTGTATTTATTTTATTATTTTAAAAAGCGTTAATCTTTCCTCTGTTATGTGTTTTTCTGATTGTTTCACAGATATTACTGTCTAAATCTGTTTGTGTTTCACAATTACAATGAATGGTTCCTCTGTCTTTCTTCAAATCAATAAAATATATGACATTAGTAGATGACAGATTTGAGCTGAACTGCTTCTAAGGAGCGCTGTGTAACTTTGGTGTGCACAACAGCTACTACTTTTAGCAGTTAACGCTAAACGATAGACAAACTAAAAGCCAATAGTAGACAGTGTAATAAGTATTTTATTGCATTTTATAATGCCATTGTCAATAATTAGTACAGATTACATGCAACTAGACCTACTGTACAGTTTTTTTATTGTCTGCGTGGACAGACACAAGAAGATTCAGGTTACAAATACACAGATATATGTTTGTGTTTTTATACAGCATGAAGGAAAGGGCAGTGACTGGCATTACATGGCTACCCAGGCTGGAGGGTCAGAGGGCTGGGCTCTATGGTCTGTGTAAAGCCGTCACCCAGGCTCTGTCCCTGCCTCTTCCTCAGGTCACCTTTTCAAATAACAGGAAACAAAACCAAAAAATAAAAATAAAAAAATAAAAAAAATCAAAGGATAGAGAGAGGTAAGCAGATAAACTGAAACTAAGAAACAATACAGAGAGCGCCACTGCTGAAAAAATGTACACACATTCTTTAGGTTTAACCAGAGGAAAAATGAAGTGGTAGTTCCATTGGATTCTGACAAATAATACCATCAGGCAATGCTCTCCAGAGTCCATTCCCCTTTCAAATGACCTCTAAGAACTGTCCGGGATTTCTTTTCCACAACACCAGCACGTGGATGTACGAGAGATAACAGCTGTCAAGCAAAGGTGATGGGTGAATTCGGAGAGTTTTGGAAGTAGCTTTGCGTTCGTTTGGTTCACTCGGTAGCATTGGTTTGGTTACAGTTTGGTTAAAGTCAGGAGTTTGGAACGAGCAACGTTTGCTTTCAATACCTTTGGTAGTCAGAGCACGAGCTGCATCTCTGAGACACATTCCACATTTTGGTATTGAGACAACGCAAGAGGAGGAGGAGTATCAAAAATGCAACAGTGTTGTTCTTTGATCTGGGACATGCGGTTTAAGAACTGGTCTCCACCAGACACGTCTACGGCTCCGTGACGCCCGCACTCCACCTGCTTGAGTTCAGAACAACGGACGGGGGAGCTGGGGTCACAGGAAGCTGGGACTTTTATTGGCACCTGAAAAGACCAACACCTTTTTTTTAGAGATCTGGATTTTTAAAGCAAGAGAGGGGCTACATATTCTGACGTGTTTTTTTCTCCTTTTTCTTGTTAGAGGTTTTGGTCCTGACTTAGAGAAAAAAAAGTCCTTCTGAGGTATCAATACTTGGATGAAGTAACTTTTTAGTTGGTTTTCCATTTGTTTTTTTTCTTTCCTTAAAAATTCATAAATGCAGTACAGAGACAAAAAAGTATCAAAATAGACCTAGCTAAGATAAATATACAAACTGGTGTTACCTAAACCACTGATCTAACTTTCTTCTTTTAATTTTTTTTCCGAGATACAACACTTTAAAAAAAAAAAATCAGCGTCCCAGACGTTTAATGAAAAAAAAGAGCCAAAAATGGAAACCAACAACAACAAGAGAAAACGAAACCTATTGAACCAAGATATCTGCAGCACTTAATATGATAAATACATATACTTCAGCATTAGCAGTACAGTATAGGAATCAGAGCTGAAAGCTTTACAATAGCTAAACAGGTGCAGCGAAAGAAGCGCAAAAAACAAATCCCAATACGGAGAAAGGAAATTCAATGAAAAAAAAAAAAAAACAGCTCCGGAGAGAAAGGTCAAGCACTAATATACAAGAATACATCATGATATGCCGAGCTGGGAAAAAAAAAACAAAAAACAAAAAACTGACGCTTAACGTTGCCACCTGTGAACAATCTACATCTTTAGAAAAACACTTTTGTTTACAAGTGTACCTTAAAGCACAAGTCAGAGAGCATGGATGTGTACTGTACTGTGCTGTACTGTACTGTACTGTACTGTACTGTACTGTACTGTACTGTATGCAGCAGTTCCTCTTGGTTTAGTAGTGATGGGTTTAAGTGAGTGACAGTTTGTGTCTGTGGGTCTTTGGATGTGTGTCTGCACTAACCCTATAGCCCTGCTTATATACTTCCTGTGTGTGTGTGTCTGTGTGTGTGTGTGTGTGTGTGTCTGACATATTCCGCTCATCAACCAGCCTGTTGTAAACACCACACAGCCATTAACACCCACTTTCTAATTGGCTGAGACCGTTAATATGCACACGGACGGTGGAAACACACAGTTTAGCGGCCGTTCCTCAGGTGCAGAGATCGCGGTCGCGTTAACGCAACTTTGTACAACGAGCTCTTCACACACAACACACACACATGGCGACACAGAGAGAGTGCTGTAGATGTGGCTGAAGGAGAGGTAGACTTTTTTTTGTCCCATAGAAAGACCATCTTCGCTTTGTTTTTGGGCGTGAACCGGATCAGTTTGAGGGGGGGTAGGAGGGGGGGGGTCTATACCACAAAAATGGCTCCTTTTTGTCAGTCATACAATGAGTGTAACATAATTTTGGCATCAATTGTTATCATCATCAAGGAAGAATGGAGAGAGAAAAAAAAGAGAAATATTTCAGAGGGTTCAGTCTCAGGAGGTAGTGTTATTATTTGGTTTTTATCTGGTTTCAAGATGTCCGTCTGCCACGTGGTACGAAGTTAGAAATCAGTCTCTAATGTGACAAGAAACGGTCCTGTTTGAACACAAAGTCCTTTAGAAATGTTCTCCGTTAAATGAGAGGAAATAATTGTTGCAAGTGCAAGATAAAGTTTGGAGAAAAATAAAAGCACCGCGATTTGAGCCCAACTATAAACTACACAACACCGTTGCCCTTTTCTCGTTGGTGTATTTTTTAGGTTTCCCCTCCTTATTATTATCTTCATCTGGGTTTTTATGTAAACATTTTTACAGCAGACATCCTCCAGTTCTACCTTTTTAAATGACTCCTAAAACCAAGGGCAGTTTTGCCTTCTTGAACTTTTAAAAAAGGTGCACGGAACTAAGATGCCCCAAGAGGGCGCCGTATTTGGGTCTGCTCTTCTGGTGTAAAGGGGCCGATCTGAAGATTTGTTTGAGAACATAATTCAGCCTGAGACTTGTTTTTTTTAACATCTAATTTCTGTTTTTTTCTGTCGTTTGCAGAGGAACTGTGTGCGGTTGGTTCACGCTTCACTTTTTTGGCCTGACACCTAATGTGAGTTCTTCATAACTGCGGTTATGGATATAAAAGCTATGACGTCTCCGAAGTCTGGTTGGCTTAGCACACTTTGGTTTTTGGAATGGTCAGTCAGCACTGTAAGTTACCTATAGTTTCAACACAATAGTTATGAGAATACAGAAAAAAGGAATTCCAAACGTCCTGGTTTGTTGTCTTTTGGCCAGTTCTACACAAAACCAAAACAAACAAACAAAAAAAGTAAAAATAAAAATAAACTACAGGGTTTTTGGTTTTCTACACATTTCTTTGGTTACCTGTAACAAAAATAAAAGGGAACAAGCAGAATAACAGAATAAAATACATGTTAGATTTGGTATGGCACTGTAGAGAAATGTAATGCTTTTACGCTCACAGAAAAGTAGTAAACAAACGAAAAGAAAATCTTTCGTGCTTTTCCTTTAACACAAACTCACACAGTGAATTGTAGGTAACATCTACACAGTAACTCGAACAACCATAAAACTTTGTATCTGAAACTGAGCAGAGTTGCCACATGTGGTGTCCCACCAAAAGAATTCCCCCGTGTTTTGTTTTTTTTTATCAATTTGGACAGAACCTTTGTGGGATGAGGTATTCTCTGACTGCAGTCATAATATATTTATATTTTTTAAAGCATTATTGATACTTCTCAACTAAATACACAACCAAAAACAAGTGAATGAGAGAGAATAACAACAACAAAAAATTTGGCCGTTAAATAATAATGTCTGGAAAATGAAAACTTTAAGTGCTATCTCCAAATTTCTTGCCTGCTACACTGGGGACAGACGGGGAGAAGGACGAGAGTTTGGTTCGGGGATCACAAGTTAGGACAATACTGCACTTTCTTTTCTTTCTTTTTGTTTCTGCCAATACTCTTATGGAATGGTGTGAACAAGCAGAGTAAAAAAAAAAAATCAAACATATTACAACACAAAAACAACAGCAAAAAAAAAAAAAAAACAGCATTCTTAGAGATAGATCGTTGAAATAGAACGTCACCGTGAAAATATTGATCCTCAAAAATGATAACATCATCAACATATCATCAAATAAAAAAAGGAAATGACAAAAAGCTACCACACATTTTTTTCTTGTTATATTCCATAGTCATAAACAGTTTTTCTTTTTTACTCACAATATTTCTGAAGATGCCTCCACCCTCTTTTTTTTCAATCTGTTTTTTCTTCTTCTTGTTCGTAAAGTGTTCCAAGCTCAAGACTCCGTCTGTGCACAGAGAAGGGAGAAGGACAGCACCGTATGTCCTATTCCTGCATTAATTATAGTGTCGGGATGGAGCCGGGTCAAAGAGTGTCTGTTATTCCTTACTTTGAAGCAAAGAGTTCAAACCCATGTCCATCGTGAAGTGTCTTGCTGGGGCAGATGTTCGGACCCAGACCGCGGCCGTCGTCTCTGCTGCATCAGCCTCGACAAAGAAAAAGGTGTGCAGATCTGGGGACAGGAACCTGGTCTTGATCAGATGTTTTCGGAGAACTGCTGGAGGTAACTTTGAAAGCACGCTTACGTTTGTCTGTCGATCTTAAAGCCCAACAGTCTCATCTCAGTTAAATCAAATGAAAGTGAAGTAATCGACTCAAAGGGAGGAGGAGGAGGAGGGGGGAGATGGAGGAGTAAGAAGGATCCAGCACAGCCCCTGACGACTGCCCTAAATCTATATACACATCACCCAATGTGTTTTTATTTTCCTAGACACACTGGTGTGTCTCCTCAACTGTCCCCTACAGGTGGGACCGCTGCTCCGAGCAGCCTGAGGAGCAGTGAGGCGGAGGAGGAGGAGGAGGAGGAGGAGGAGGAGGAGGAGAGGATGTACAAAGAGTAGTGGGTGGTTTTACTGTAGGAGTGTCTTCACAGAAAAAAAGAAAATACGTGTCACCAGGCAGGACAACACGTGAAAGAGTGGTTCTGTGTGCAGGCGAGTGTGAGTTTGTCTTAAGTGGTCTTCTACCTCGGAGCCAAGTGTTGACCAAGTGTTGACCAAGTGTAGACCAAGGAACACGTGGAGGTAAAGCAGCGCTCCAGTCTTTTGTGTCTCAAAGTTACGGTCGTCATCGAACCCTGTTTGGAGTTTCTTAAGGTCGTCCTTGGTTGGTTTCAATAAAAAATAAAAATAAAAAAAAGAAAGAAATGAAAAAAGAAAATCATTCTTTTCATTTATCTGCTCGTCTCTCTTCTCTTCTAAGCGTACTCCTCTCCTCTTCGTACTGATGAGAGGGTTGGTGGGGATGGATCCAGCTGTGTCTCATCCCTCCGGCCCATTCTGGACCTGTCCTACTCCAGCTCCTCCGTGGGAAGGTCCTCCTCCAGGTCACGCTCATCGCTTGGCAACGGCAGGCTGTGTGTGACTCCAGCTAGGAGGGACATGGGCCGACCGTCCTCCTCCAACTCAGTGGGCTCCTCCTTCACGTGCACCTGGTGGCTGAAGGACACATTACACTGACTTTAGAGTTGGGTCAGGTGGTGTAGTTTAAAGTTGGAAGTTTTTTTACGTAGGAGAAAAAAAACTGACTCCATGTCTACGTTGTCCCTGTGTTACCTGTACTGATGGGGGCTGAGCGTCGGACTGCAGCTGCCGTTGCTGTTGACCTGCTCTACAGTGGAACTGACGTCGTCGTGGCCCACGTGCAGCATGTTGAGGCTGGCTGCAGATGGAGGTGTCACCAGGGCCCTGTTCAGCGGGGAAAGACTCCTCTCTGCCAGAGCCGCCTGGAAGTCACAGAAGCAGGGAAAATGAGACCAGTGCACTGGACAAGAGTTATATTTTATTTAAAAAAAACAACAATATTTGGAAATAGGAAAATAAAAATTGAAAATATTATTTTACAAACTATATTTGTTTGTATTACAAACTGTGTTTGTTAATGTCGCCATACTTTTTACTATATTTGTTTGTGTTACAAACTGTGTTTGTTAATGTCGCCATGACAGCTCTTCTATATGAGCAACAGTGGAAGTAACTTGTTAGTGAACTTTGTTAACCACCAGGGGGCACTTATATACAGTAGTTTCCACATTGTGGCCTTGGTCCAATAACCCACTGACATGGGCATGTGTGTGTGTCTATCTGTGTGTCTATGTGTTATAAATTAATGAATAAATGTGTACTATATTAATATCATATTTGGGAAATTCTTGTGTTAGCAGCAGATACGCTGTTAACAGGCTGCCCCGAGCAAGCGCCAAGCATGTGGTTCATTTGGGAATCGAACCTCTTCTACAACTTAACATGGAAGCTAGAAGAATGGCTGAGACTGAGCCTCAACCTCAACTCCAACACAGCAGCAGCAGCAGCAGCAGCAGCAGCAGCGAAACAGAAGACAAAACAAATGAAACCCCAGGAGCAGCTCCTGTCACTGCACTCACTGCTCATGTGCAGCTGTTTGAACCTCACCTCCACTTTACTGCTGGGAAGTCGGGAGACAATTCTCATTGGCTCATAAAAAAAAACACTTCATGGGTCGGGCCCAGATTTTATGCAGGAAACTTAAATGACAACAATCTAAAGCTATAAATCAGTGCAGTAGAAATCACAACTGTGTGTGAGTTTGATGTCATATGGGACGAGTGAGCGTGTGTGTTCACTGGTGGGGGGGGGGGGGGGGGGGGGGGGGTGACGTGTGTGGAAGTGAGTTGGGGGGTGAAAATGTGTGTTGGTGTGGGAGGAGGTGACCTGAACGTCGTTAGGGAGTCTGCTAATTATGAGAGGGAATTGATATCTGTGCCCTTGGTTCTGATTGGTTGCTCTCTCTTTGAATGCATATGTGTACAGACGTGCACGTGTGTGTGTGCGTGCGTGCGTGTATAAGGGAGAGAAAGAAGAGACAGAGACATGTGTGGCAGCAGAGGACGTTCCATACCTGGTAGCTGGCGTTGAGGGAACCAAAGCCCAGGCCTGAAATCATGTTTTTCACCAGAGTGGGACTTCTGCAACACACACACACACACACACACACACACATAGACAAAAGAGAGAGTCAGTGAAGTGTGTGTGTATATGTGTGTGTGTGTGTGATGTAAAGCACACGGTCGTAGATTAAACGCAGACGTGGAAAGATGTCACCTAAGTATCAACAATCTCATAACTGTGTGTTTGTTATGAGTAGAAAAGAAACACAGACTGTAAACAGATGCTAAAACAAGCTCACACACATATCTGGTGTGCAGGTGTGTGTGTGTGTGTTTGTGTGTGTGTAATTATCCCTGGTTTTGTTGGCGGTTGGAGGGAACATCTGTTTACACACACTAACAAGGCTTTTTGCACTCTCACACAGCTGGTCTGAACAAACAGGGAAAACACACACACACAAACAGAGAATCACACACACACACACACACATGCATGTACACTGTGCATCAGCACCTCTGTTATTTTCATTGATTGCCGAGTTGCCCTCTGGGTAATAACAACTATTTAGGTAATCGCGGTGCCAGCACCTGTAAACTCACACTCTCATCTTCCTCAGGTCAGATGTGTGTATGACAGCCAGTGTACACTGTACATGTACGTGTGTGTGTGTGTGTGTGTATGACAGCCAGTGTACACTGTACATGTACATATATATGTGTGTGTGTGCATTTTTACCCGGTCATCTTTGGTGGTCTCCTCTTTTGGTATTCAACTTCATCCACGGTCCACACTGCCCCCTTCACGTTCTCCACACGAACAAAACACTTGTGCAGACTTAGGTTGTGGCGCACAGCATTCTGGGAAAAAGAAAAAAAAAACAGAACAGGAAACCAAAGATCAGTACCAGCACCTGTATTGGTTTCATACTCATTTTCAAACCATTATCCATTAAGCAGTAGTTTGATTTATTATTAAAGTCTAATAACATGCTGAGAAATTTGTCAGAATATTTCTTTCAACATTAGATTAAAATAAAAACAGAAACTCCCAGAAAAGAAAAGAAAAGACATTTGTTAAACATAAATATGTCTTAATAATAATAATAATTCTTATAACATTATTATTAATAATAATATTATTATTGATAACAATAATATTTCAACATGTTCCCTTCACGTAAAAATTCTGCACAATATTTTCTTCCAGTTCTTTACACTGAGAAAAAAAAACGTTTTCAAAACATCAAACAATTCATAACAGTGACCTATCACAGGACAGAGCCTTTGATTGATGCTCCTTTTATACCAAACTGTGATACCCAAAAATTAAACAAATGGAACATGATTTATTTCATTTTAAATTAAGACAATTGTTAAAACATTAATAACAGAAAAGATCATTTCACCATAACTGAAAAATAAAATAAATCCCAGGTATTTCTTTCTTTCGTTTTTTTTAAAGGAGACAAAACCATAAAAAACATAACATTGGCCTTTTTATGTTTAAAATTTAATTTTTTGATTTTAGATTAAATTAACTAACTTTTCTGACATTTGGTTGATAAATCGTCCACTATTGTAAATTACACAAAAATATATATATACATATATATATTCCTCATGTGTTTCACATTTTGTGTGATCATTTTTAATAATAATTTTTACTTTTCCAGGTGAACAACACAGCTTTGCTCAGAGAAAACCCTCTATTGTGAGGCTGTGACTCTCGCTGGTTGTCGTCACTTTATCTCAGGGTTTTTCTTTTATCATCACTCTTCATCAGCATGCACACGTACACAATCACACACACACGTGCTCTCAGACAGGAAAGCAGGCAGGCACACCGCTATCTCTGTCTCACCCCCCGGGGGACAGGCCTCCCTTTTCATCTGCTATTTGTAGTTTGTTCATGGCCAATTTCATTACCAATTTTAATTCGTCTATAATTAAATCCTGCATATTCTCTCTGACACGCTGTTCTAAGCCGAGAAGGAGGGACAGGCCAGGCATGCATCACTCCTTGCCATAATTACACACACACACACACATACACACACACACGTAATTACACAAGCCATAATCAGCAGAGGAACCCTTTCTCCCCCGCATCCCCTCAACCCCTCGAGCTGTGATGCTAAGTTTTGTAAATGAGTCTGACCCCAATCTCTGCCTGCCACCCTGACAGTGCAAACACACACGCACACACACACACACACACTATTTGCATTTGTCTTCGTGATGAAAGCCTAATTCTTCCAGTTAAAACATTAGCAGTCATTTACAGTGGGTCACAGCACGTGCCACTCATCGTCCGTCCCTCTGGCTGTGGGCGGAGGACAGGAGTGTGCAGGTGGACGGTGTTTGGGATTTTGGACTTATGAGGCACTGTGCACTGATTGGTCTGTTTTATGATCCGATCAAACGAGCAGATTTTGGGACAAATTTATTTCTAAAAAAAAAAAAACCCTCAATATCCAAGACAAAATATAAAGTCCTGCATCGAGAATAACGTGAGAATGAGAATTAAAATCATTACATTTAAATCCTGCTCGTCAAATTACTAATAGAGATCTTTTTTTATATTATTATTATTATTATATCTGCAGAGAGTCTTAATATGAGATGAACATTTGATCAGTGTTGTAAATCTGAGAGTTTTAAATTGAAGTAGAAGATGTAAAATTTATAAACAGTTCATATTAAAACAATCACTCTCTCGTACCTGTTAAAATATTCAGTTAATAATAATAATGAGCAGCAGGAAAGAACGGGGAAAAAGACTGTAAAGTAACAATAAATAAAAGTATTTTTGGTCCTCTGACACAACATGAGTGATTTAAATATAAATTTAGACTTCTATCTTTTCCTTTCTCTCTTCTTTTTTCTTTTTCTTTCTTTTCTCTTCTGTATTCATTTTGCCTCCGTTTCCCTGATCAATGACTCCCACCTCCTGACACCTCCTGCTCTCCTCATGAAATATAACAGCTTATTAAAGGACATACATCTCTGCCGCTCCATCCCACTCACCCAGCTGCTATAGAAATACATAAGGCCACAACCAGCTCTATTTAAAGGTCTGCCGGGCCAACGGCGCAGGAAGCCAACGCCAGACATTAATAGTTAAAATTCATAAAAGTCAGATGAGGAGGTAAAGATATTCCTGACTGCCCCGTCTCTTAACCCTCTCCACACCACATCACCCCCGCTCCTCCCCCATCCCTTCCTCCTTGGTGCAGGTCTATTAGTGTCAGGTGGGGGACTCCTCCACCTTCCTCCTCCTATTTCCTGCTCCTCCTTCATTCATCTATTCACTCACTTTTTCCTCTGGCTAATTCACTCCCTTTCCCTCTCTCTGGAGGAACTGACACTCAAATTAGCCCAGGTTCCTGCAGAAAGGGGTCAGTACCTGCAGCGGGGGAATCTGGCTAACCTGAACGTGTGCAGGGAAATGATCAACTTCCTTTAAATGCATCATATATTGCATTTTTTTGGCCAAAACACAAACAACATCTTCTCTGATGCATCGATTGAGTCAATGCATGGTTTTTCACCATTTAAACGACTACAAACTACTAAATTTCTTAGTCAGGTTTTTTTTTTTTTTAATCCTAATCTGGTCCTTTAAGAAAATGTAGGTTAAATAATGACAGTGAGTGATTGTTTGATTCGTTGATGTGTGCACAGTGCACAGTCATCCTTACCTTCCACGTAGCTGTGTTTCTCCTGAAGTAGGCAAACTTTCTCGTAAACCAGTTGTAGATTTCGTTGAGAGTCAGCTGTCGTTCCGGAGACTCCAGAATGGCCTGAGGACGGGAGGAGACAAGACACAATTTAGAGGAGGACACGGAGGAGGTGATGGGTGTAGAAGTGGAAGGAGACTCACGTGACGTATAAGAGAGGCGTAAGTGAAGGGAGGCCTGACATCAGCGTTCTTGTAGAACTCACAGTTCTGAGCCAGCTCTGAAAAAAAAAAACCCACAAATACATGACTGAATATAGAGAAACCCTTAAAACCTAATTTGATTTTATTAAACAAGTAATAAACAACGACTCTGTATGAACAGGGCAGCGGTGGCTCTGACGGAGACTCCAGTACCTGAGGCGATGGGGGTGCAGTATTTGTCAGAGTTGCGCCTCCTTATGGGCCCGACGCCGTGCGTGTGGGAGTGTGAGTGGAGGCTGGAGGAGCTGATGACCGAGGGTCCCTGACGCAGTGGGGTGATGGGGGTGGCAGCGGAGGTGGGAGGATGGGGGAGACCCTCGGGGTAGACTTCGCTGTCCCTCTTCAGCAGGGAGCCACTGGAAGCCAGGTTCAGCTACAAACAGAGAAATCCAGTTATTGTAACGAGCAAAGACTGACATGTAGACTAACTCTATTTGGTTATGAAGTTTAAAATCAACTTCAGCTGACTGCATGGGGTCCAGAGAAGACACAGAACAGAGGTCGGCATTGAGCACAACTGTAAAAAGGCCTAAATGTTAGTGAAGGTTTTTTTTTGAAGGGTAGATAGAATTTTAGAATTTAAATGTCGCTACGATCAAAACCAGGAAACATTTGTCTTTCATTTATGTAAATGAATAAAGATGATTTTTTTTAGGAAAGCCTTTACTCCTCCACTTACGAAGTACAAATGTGATTAAACAGCGCGGCCAACAGGGCCACCGCAGACTATCATCTGATAATGGAGAATTGTTCCTTCCATTCATTTGAAGGTATTTAACCTACAGCAGTAACGAGAGCTGCTGCACACCTTGGACACACCAGTGATGGAGACAAAAACAGGAGTAAAAAAAAAAGACATTTAGTGAAAGGGAAGTTGACACAGCACAATTCAAAAACATTACAGCTAAAGTAAGACTTTAGAATAAGGTGCAGGTTATAATCTGTGAGGTTTGTAATTTGTCAGACTAACAGGTCTGTTAGTCTAGGCCAATCTGGCCCAGACACAAAGGGCATGGCCCGTCTTTTTGTCCTGAACTCCATGAGAATCAGTGGTCAACACAGCCTTGGAGAATGTCTCAGACATAATAAAAGAGCAGAAACAAACAAAGGAGACCAGAGGGGTTTTTTTTCTTTGTTTTTTAACAAGCAAGAACAGACAACATTATTTTGTACAACTGCAGCAAATGGTGACCTTAGTTTCCCAAAGAAATATGAGTATCTGGATCTGTGTGTGCACAATACTTTATACGTATTTATTAAGCTGTGGGGACAAAACATTATTTTATGGGGACCTTGTGCGTTAAGAGAACAAAAGCTCGGGTCCAAAGTCTTTAAATTTAGCACAATAGCAGAATTAGCTAAAAAAATCATTTTGATCATTTTCAATATTGTTTTAAATATTAAACAAACTTTGTTATAAATTTTAAAGTTTGACATTCTACATCACTTTATTTTAACATATAGATTGAAGTTATAACCATTGTCAACATTACTGGGTAAAAGTTATTTTCATTGCATTTTTTTTTTTTAAGTACTACTCTAGGAATGTTGTTAGTACATGCACACAGGGACACACACACACACATGTACATGTGTACAGTATTTTATATACACAGAAATGGCTGCAATTAACCCTGACTGTACAAAAAAACAAAACCACATGACAGCGTGTTTGTAAGCGGTGGAACATACACATACACATACACTCTGGAACGGCTACGTCTTCAAGGACTAATATGGCCCAATTAGTCGGAGCCTCACCCACAAATACACACACACACACACACACACACATACTAGAATTCCCGGGTCTCTCTGGGACAGCCATTGTAGGGATGCAAGTTTAGGACTAATTAAAACCAAAGTGTTCTTGTGTGTGTGAGAGTGTGTGTGAGTGTGAGTGTGTGTGTGAGTTGTCTATATGTATGAAAAAAATGTGTGAATCGCCCCTCTTTGCTCTAGACCTCACCCGGCAGCATTTAAGATGCCAGGAAGGGGGCGGGGCTGTTTAACAGGTACTTCATTAACGCCGCAACCCTGTCACATCACCACGGCAACAGTCGAACCCTGTTAATTGAGGCCAAGCTTTGTTTCCACTCCCGATGCCCCTCCCCCCTGCCCCTCCTCCTCCAATCCCTGACCCCGAGACTCCTCTCCTGTGGTGACAGAACACGCCTCTTCCTGATTTGCCATTAGATGTTAATGGGTACACACGCACACACACACACACACACACGCACACACACACGGCTCCACCATTCGTCTGCATCAATTTAAATCCCCTCAAATTAAGACACTCCACCTCTAATTGACAATTAATTTCAACATCTTCATATTTTAATAAGACTCCTCATCACTCTGAATAATGAAATATTCATTAGAGGCCTGATAACAATGCTGCCAACCGGTGTGGACGCAAGAAATGAAGATTTTTTTAAAAATCTTTATAGTTTGGGGGAAGGTTTTTGTTCTGTCAGGACAACAAGAAAAACATAAATTTAAAGTAAAATTAGGCTTTAATTCATCATTTTAATCTTTAAAAAGGGTGAAAATAAATGAATGACCTTCTACAAAAAGAGAAAACACTTCAAATTTTGGCAGTGGAAAAATGAAGGGAGGAAACAAGATAAAGGAAGATTTAAAAGGAGCTAAGAAGACCAAGGCAGACGGTAGCGCTCCCACTGGACAGTAGAGGGCGTAAATACCAAGCTCGACTCCACAGAGGAACACTTCATCAAGAGAGGGTTAAGAAACTGATAAAAAAGAAGTGGGAAGGTTAAAAAAAAAGAAGAGGGATATAAAAGCTGAGGGTAAAATATCACGGGGGTTTGAAGCGTTGAAGGTAAATATCAGTGTGTACTCACAGGTTGGTTAAAAGGCTTTGGCTCCGAGGGGCGCATGTGCAGGTGGGTCATCATGGCCTGGAGTCGCTCGCTCTCTTTTGCCAGCTGTGAACACACAAACGACTGGATTTAACAAGTTTTCCTTCACCATATTTACACAGAATTACAATTATCATCACCCTGTGGCAGAGAGATAAGTATCAGGAGGAGCTGCCTCCAGTGCCCGCACATCCTCAAACACACACAGACACACACGCACACTCACACTCACACTTGCCTGCAGACACTGTCGTTCCTGTTTGACACTGTTAACTGTCGTTTAATGGGTTCTGCTACACCCTGTGAAAATGCTGTGTCCTCTGGGTGTATGTGTATGTGTGTGTGTTTGGGTATTAGCACAAACACACACACACACACACCTGTAGCTTCCCAGACCTAGGGCTGATGGATAACTGAGAAAAACGTAATACCAAAGCAACATGTGTGAGTGTGAAAATAAAACAGTATCTGGATCTGTGTGTGCACAATACTTGTATTTATCAAGTTGTGGGGTCAAAACATTAGTTTAAATGGGGGACCTTGTGTGTTATGAGGACAAAAGCTTGGGCCCAAAGTCTTTATATTTAGCACATTAGCAACATTATCTAAACAAAGGCATTTTGATCATTTTCAGGATTTTGTTTTAAATGTTAAACACATTTTTGTTTAAATTTTAAACTGAGCTATCTCCTGGTAAATACTGAGCTGACTTATTGTTAAATATTTCCCAAAAATTTGCAGTTTTATTGGCTTACTTCAAACCCTTTTAAACCCAAAGTACGTTCATTTTCAATCATACATTATTGTTATTTTTGCACTTTTACCTAGTATTACAACATATTTATTTTCTCTTAACTTTAATATTGGATAAAAGTTACAGTTTCAAAAATGAAAAGTTCTTTTCTAATTTATTTATATCCCAGCGTCAGCAGACAGTTCACTATTTTGCTTTTTCTTTTGGGCCAAACCCTGGGTGATTTCTTTATCTTAAAACTATTGTTGTTCACAAACTATGGAACCAAACGCTTGTGTGTGTGTGTGTGTGTGTGTGGAGTGGGGTTGTCGGTTACTGCATTTGGACTGTGGAGAGTTGAAGTGACGTGTTAGGGAGGAGGAAATGCTTTTCCTGATGTGATGTGACACCAGCTGCCCCTCTGTCACTTTGTGTTGCCTGGTTGTGGCTTCAGGGGCTCGGCTAAAACGTTGTTTACCACCACGGCCAAACACAACATTAACCCCGATTCAACACACCAAAACTCATTAGGTGGATGTTCTGAAGCAACGTCAAGATATTTGTGATGAAGCATCAATGCCTATGAGTGTGACATTGTCTTCAACTACATTTAAAACCCTGGCCTTGAGTTAATTTGCTGTGACAAAGTTTAGAAGATTCAAGGACACTTCAATACCACCTGACACATAAACATTTCTGAATAAATATTTTTACACAGTAAAATAAAGTGTAAATATATTTACTTTGGGTATTAATCTTTTTCAACAAGGTTATTTTTCCTCTGCCTCTTTTTTCAAATATAAATATTGTAAACCAATTCAATTTATTTACAGTTGTGAAAATACTTTTTTTTTCAGGTGAGCTGGTTCACTGTTCTTATCATGGGGGTATTTTTTAATTTACTGAAGCATTTAAATGTTTTAAAAACACAAAATACTCTTTTAGATTCATCCTCCCCCTCTCTCTCTCAGCCTCTCTCTCTCTCTCTCTCTCTCTCCTGCTGGTGACCAGAGCAGCTTTATAATTGGAGCAGTGATGGCAGCTTCCCCGCCGACTTCTCCTTTTAAATTACAAGCTCCACTGCTCTCCATAAACTCTGCCCTGCCTCAGACAAGTTGCTGCCATTGACTGGCTGAAACGGTCTTCATGGTATTGTTTTCCAGCGGACAAAAATGGACTTTGTCGAACACTTCTTGTGTGTGTGTGTGTGTGTGTCTCTAACCTGTATCTCGAGCTGTTGAACCACCTGCATCTGGACTCTGCACTGAGCCGTGCTGCGGTCGTCCAGGGCGTGCTCGTTGTTCAAGTGCCTGGAGGTGAAAGGAGAGACCAGAGTGTCAACAGTCGCTTTTTGGAGAAACAACTTGATATCAACAAAAACAAAAGCAGAAGAGTGCTTCACAGCCACTGATGACTTTTCAGTCCTGCACAGGTCAACATTCTAGATGTAAAAAAACTGTCCTTTTTTGTGTTTTTATAAACAGAGTTATGAGCCATTTCACCAACACACAGATAAATCATAATCTCCGAGGTTTATTTTGTCTAGTGTAGGACGGAGCAGCTGTGTTTTGTGTGTGTGTGTGTGTGTGTGTACTTTACTGGTGCTCAGTGAGGCATGATCCAAGACAACCACCTGGATGTGAGCTCATATGTTATCACACGGAGCCTTATCTCTGCACTTTTTTCTTAGCTAAAATTGACTCCATTTATTAACACTGCATATGTGTGTGTGTGCGTGCGTGTGTGTGTGTGTGTGAATGGTGCCGCTGTTTGTTTCCTCCAATGAGGGAGGATCCAAGACCTTCTGATCTTTTGTCGTGTCCCCCTCCCAGTCTCTCTTCCTTCTCTCTCTCTCTCCTCTCTGTCATCACCAAGGTTTATTCACAGGTTGTTGCTGCTGCCGCCCTGTGTGTGTGTGTGTGTATGAATGTGTGTCATAGTGGTCGAAGACTGTGACACTTTTCTTTAAATCATAAACTGTAAACTTCTGATCTGGGCAATCGATACAGAGAAGTTTTTCTCAGGTCTGATGTTGATGTGTGTGTGTGTGTGTGTGTGTGTGTGAATGTGAAGGTGTTTGTTGATGTAAGAGTGTGTGTGTGTGTGTCTCTAAGTGTAAGTGAATGTTAGGAAATTTCAAGCAAAGACTTGAAATGAAACAAAAACAATGATGTCATGGCAAGGCTAATCCAGTCAGATAGACGGCTCGACACAAGTGCACGATAATAATAACAAAATACATGATCTCACTCCTCTCCCCCCTTCGTTCTCCCTCCCTCACTCCCTCTCTCTCTCATTCTTTTTTACTCTCATCAAGTCAGTTTTCCCCACATCACTTCACGTCCACTCACCCCTTCTGACTCTTTTCCAACAACTCCCCGAACGACCATGATTCACACTCATTCCAACCAAACTTGCCCCCTCATATCAGCCCCCCCATCCTCTATAGCTGGGCCATAAACAGTAGCAAGATTTTTTTTTCAATGTGTCCCGACAATGAGGCTCTGTTTAATCCTCTGAGTGCTGGCAGACAAGGCTTTAACCCACATTACACCCAGCTCCAACGACCACAACCAGAGTATTATAACAGAGCAGGGAGGAGGAGGAGAGGAGGTGGGCAAGGCAAAGGAGAAGAGAAGAAAGGCCTCAAATAGTGGAGTGCCCCCCCCACACACCCCCCTCTTCTGTTCTTCTCTTCTATCCTCATCTCTCCTGGGGCGATGACTAAAGCTGGCTGGAAGGGAGCGGACTGTCGGATTGACAGAATTATCTGTCACTACCTCTGTTTTTTTTCATCCCACTCTTTTCCCCTCCCGCACATACACACACAAACACAAGCACACACACACTCAAACTCACACAAACACACTATCACTCTCTCTCTCTCTCTCTCTCTCCCCTTCCATCTGCCCTCGGGCTACATGAAATGAGACACCAAACAACAGCTTTCCTCTCCAAACTTTCCCAGCCTGCCTACAAGCTTTGATCTGACTGTCCGATGTCATCCAAATCACCGCGCACACCCCCACTGATACTGTGTGCGCACGTGCACGTGCCCACATGTTGTGTGTTTTAGCACGTATTTCATCACTCCGGCTTATTAATGTCTTCGCTGACGGGATGGCAAAAAACTTTCAGATAATGAGAGATTGTTTAGGGGCTTCATTAGAGGTTTGGGAAGCCTCTGGAAGCAGCTGCAGTGGAGTCCACTGTACAGTGTGTGACAGAGGAGGTTGGCAACAGAACGTCAAGGCCAGACAATGATTGAACGAACCTTTACTGTCCATTCACACGGAGTAAAAACTCTGTAACAGTCATTAAAACCTGACCTGAACTTTGAAATGTTCTGCCATAGAAAAATGTACATCGTCTGCATAAACAATGGCACAAAAAAACCCACACGCACAGAGCACATACATGTTTGTACCTGTACCTGAGAGACTGTGATGCAACAGAGTGCAACTGGTGAATGTGTGATACATGTGATTGATGCTTCACATTAAATACACACTGTATCTTTACACTGTTCTTGTGCTACAGGCAAATGGAATCACACAGTGTATATATACTGAGGGCTCTTTCTTTCCTAAAATGAAACAATAATAATCTGGAAGGTGGGGTGAAGGTGGTGAGTGTGCAGCAAAAAAAAAAGAAAAAAAAAAGGAAGGATTTTGTTCTTACGATTTGAGGGGATTTATACAAAAAAGACAGGTAGACTTAATGTGTCAAGGAGAGAAAATTAACTGCAAGTTCATCTCTAAATAAAAGTCTTTTATTTTAATTAAAGCCACCTTCAAAGTATTTGAGGTCAGAATGTTGTGTGAGGTTTTTAAAAAATTGAAAATTAAATTATTAAATTAAATTTTGTCCTATGACACCTGTAATAATTTCATCTGCTTCAGATAAAATAATAATAATAATAACTGAGTCCCTTACTTGTCCCACAATGGGGACATTTTGAGTGTGAGTCTTTGCAGTTGACACAGAATGCCACAGGAGGCGCCATCAAGTACATGACTGCAACTCACACAGTAGGCGCCATTAGGGATATGTGGTTCCACTGGAAATCAAACCCAGGAATCTGTGCTTGCTAGGCAGGCATGCTAACCGCTACACTATCTTCAGACTACGTTGCCAATAAAATCATCAGTGATGAAGGAATTCAAACCATTCAACAACACAATCTTTGAGTGTGGACTCACTTTATGAACTGTCCCATGTCTTCACACAGGGCCTCACATCCCGGCCACTTACACTCTCCATGGCCGTACAGAGGATGGGAGCTGGCGTGTTCCTCGTGACTGTGGGCAAAACATTCACAGGGCGGGTGAAATAAATGTGGCATTTTCTTGTACTTGATTTGTAAAATACTGTACACCTGACACGCAGTAAACACACATACAAAACACTTTTGGATAATACACGAACATGCAGGAACACACACAGGCAGGAGTGAAAGTCGAGACAGCGTCAGTGCAGCTGAGTCTGGTTAGCAGACCTAAGTTTGTACAGCACACCAAGCCAAGAGAGAGCACAGAGAGAGAGAGAGAGAGAGAGGATAGAAGAGAGAGCGGGGTCAGTTACAGAAGCCAGGCAAATAAGGGAATTGGTCCAGCAACCCCAGAGGCATATTTTAAAGTCTACGACCTGCTTCTCTGTCCTTGGCATGTGTTGTGAAAATGTGTGCGTTATTGTTGGTGTGTTTTCTCCTTACGTTTCAGGAGTCGACACAGGAGTAGGCACCGGACCAATCGGCCGTGACTGATTGGCAGCGGCCGCCGTCATGTGACGCTCGCACTTTCGCGGCAGGTTTATGTTTACGTGTTTACACGCGTGTGTTACAGTGTGTTCCCTGTTTATGGTGCATGTCTGATGATAAATGTTATTGTATTTATATCTGTGTGGAACGCTGAAACAAAACAACAGCATCCGCACACGTGTATGAATCTGTGTCTCTGCGTGTGTGCATGTGTGTCTGTGGCAGGTCCAGTAGCACATGTGGTTCAAACCTGGATCCCTGCTGCTGAATGCTTTCTACGCACATATTTACATGACTGTGTGTATGCACTGTATATATGCCTGTGTGTGTGTGTGTGTTTGGTTAGTGTGTGTGTTCTTGGATGCGTTATGGATTCTCCCAAATCAACATCAGAAGGCGGCTAACAAAAACCATTTGTCTCACAGATGGAAACGTGTCTCTCCCCCTGTCTCTTTCCTCTTCGGACTTTTCCTGATCATATGTGTAGGCTGAGGTTAAATCTTTCTCTGCATGTGTGTGTGTGTGTGTGTGCATGTGTGTGTGCATGTGTGTATGCGTGCTGGCTGCGGTTGAGTCAACTCAGAAGCAGCTCAGACAGCAGACATGACAAACTGCTGGCAACCACATTCTCCTCCACATCAGCCGTGCAAAAGCTTAGCGGGCTAGCACAGTACAACGCTACACTCCCGGTGGTAACCAGGAGCACACTGTAGCTGTGGAGTTCCAAAGTGTAAAAATATTTCATCAATTAATAAATTATTTTTTATTTGGTGCTTCTCCAACCCATGTTGACCCTCTCAAGAGTGAGGGTCAACATCGACCCAGGGGCTAGTTATGAATCTGCAGTATTTTTTTTTTCTTCTTTTGTCTGGTCCAGCCCGTGTGTAAAAGTGCAGGTGTGAATGTGCTACTCACTGGCTGGGGGGTTGTTGACTTCCTTTGGAGTATGGAGGGATATGGTCATCTCCGCTGTCTGCCTTGGTGAAGGAGGAGATCCACTCAAACAGTCGGGCTCTTAGAGACGGAAGATAAGCCCATGAGAAGCTAACACAGCTGTGGAACACCATGAGGAGGCTACAAGAACAACTTCTACCTGGACCCCTGTCTGATCGTGTCCACCTTCAGGAGGAGTTTGACTTTACAACACAGCCTGACAGTCATCATTCACAGCTCTCTCCTCTCCTCTTTCCTCTTAACCCTCTTCTTCTCTCCCTTCCACTCCTTTCTTTTTCCTCCTTTCCACTCCTCTCCTTCTTCTCTTTTCCTTTGTTATCCCTTCCTTTCCTCATCTACCCTGTCTTCCCTCCTCTCTCTCCTGCTCTCCTCTCCATCTTCCCTCTCTTTTCTTACTCTCTGTATAAATTTCCCCTCATCTCTTCTCCTCCTCTGTCCTCCTCACTCGTAGAACAGACTACACCCACCACAGCTCCTGTGTTTACACCCCGAGGACGTGCGGTTCGCCGCATGTGGATGTTTTGCAACAGCTTTTGTGTGTGAGAACATGGCAGAAGAGCTGGAGGCTAAACTACACAGGAGGAGCGTTTTTAAAAACAGAAAAGACCAGAGGCCACACAGAGGACGGAGACACGGTTAGAGAAAGAAAGAGTTTTCCTCGGCCTTACCTGTCGTACCTGTCCCTCTTTGGAGTGTGGCTCTGTCCGTTGGGCAGGTTGTGCAGTTGGATGTGAGTGCTGGCAGCTTTGGGGTAGGCTGAGGTAGAATTGGAGCTGTTGGTGCTCAGGTCCAGGCCTTCGGCCTGTTTCAGGGCCTCCTCGCTGCTCGGCACCCCTGACACTTCCTTCCATAGCTGTTGGAGGTCTGACGGACACATTGCTGGAAAGAAAAGAGAAGTAAAGTTGATGTCATGTCTGAAGCTGTCTTCATTTGCTGTTACAGGCTACCAGTCCAAGCTGGGACACTGACGTTCTGCCTACAGGGATCGCACACTGGTGCCTTGACAAATATATATTTTCAAGTAGCACAAACCACTGACGTTCTTCCTACAGGGATCGCACACTGATGCCTTGACAAATATATATTTTCAAGTAACAAAATAGCTAATACCCCTAGCTAAGCTAATTTGGTTTTAGCTTTGTTATTTTTATTCCAGTTTTTTTAGCTAGAGACACCTTAATGCAGTAACCTATTCACATAGACCTTGCGATGTATGTTCACATGTTCCATAGAACACACACACACACACATTTACTGGGCTTGCAGTAATCCAAATATTATGTCTGCTTTGTCTGCATTCTTCTAGGCTCCCGCCAAAGCAAAACTTCTCACTCTAGTAAAAGTAATGTGTGTGTGTGTGTGTGTGTGTGTAGATCTCTGTTTATACCAGAATTATGGCAAATCTGTGGACACACCCACAGTGAAAGTGCAAAGTAGAACACTGTATATAACATGAAGAGTTTCTGATTTATGAGCTCGGCTCATGTTTAGTGAACAAATTAGAAAAGAGAAAGTTTTGACAAAAAGAAAATATATTTTTCTTTAAGTTGAAGGAAAGTATTTAAAACAGTTTTTCCTGACATTTCAGCTTGATAGATGGAGTAGGGAGTAGAATGGGAGAAGATGAGTGTGCTTTTCCCCACAGTTACTGGTTCACACATGTCCATTGTGCAAACCCACGTGTTCGTCTCACGTTTACTCACTGTCAACTTTATGCCTGGAGATAAATGAGATATATTGTTCCTTAAAGGATGGAATTTGAATTAAACGTCATACGAGGAAAAACCTCCTGAAACACAGTACACCCGTCCGTGAAGAGCATCTGTGTGATTTTATTTCACCTTTAAAGAAAACAGGTTTTGACATTAATGAACTTTCAGGCTTTTGAGCAGAAGCATTTTAGCGGCAGCGTTCTGTGAAACAAACCACATCAGGGCCCCTCCACCCCCTCCCCCTCCCCCCCCCTTCTTCTTTTTCACACAGGCTCCCCACCGGACACAACAACCCGGGGGAGGCGGGGCCACAGTGTGCATTTGTGTTCGTGTCAGTGTGAGTGTTTATGCATGTGTGTTTGTGTGTTTGCGTGGCATGGCTGGACAGAGGAATGCTCTGGCTCACGCCTGGCTGAGCCGTCACAATGGACCAGCTCTATCACACTGCGGGGAAATTCCTCCCTGATATGGGTGGAGAGAAAAGAGAAAGAGAAAAGAAGGAGAAGCAGAAGCTGAAGCTGAAGCGTTTGCAATCGACTGAAACACTTCAGTCTTCTTTTCAAAACTGTGACACAGGTTCATCCTTGTTTGGATTTTCTTCCAGGAACTATGGCGAAATTCAGCTTTTAAATACAGACTGTTTTAGTTCAATGTAGGGATGGTGAAACTTTTTTTATTTTTTATTTTTCACTCTTCATTCAGTCATCTTCTACCAACTTATCCTTTGGGTCAGCCATAATGGCCAGGGCAGGGTCCACCCTACAGACAGTCCATCACAGGACCACATTCATTCACACTCCATTCACACTCATGTCCACTTCAGATCAGTCTAATTAACCAGATGTACATGGTAGGATGAAGCTAGAGAACACATGAAAGACCTGCAGTTAACAACAGCAATCAAACCATTGACTGCATTGATGTAAGGCAACATTACACACCACTCTGTTACCGTGTTGACCTAATTTATTTCCCTAATTACCATCAAACATACATTTATATGTTTTTTTTTTATTGCTGATAAATGGATTTTACTTCTTTATGATAAGCATTTAATGCCAGACAAACACTAACAACTTGGGACACCTCATGAGGGTAAAAAGTTTCAATTGTAAAGTTAGGTATAAATGGCCAATGGCCTCGTCTTAGTATGAAAGAGTAACTTGTTGAATTTTTGAAGATTGTTCACAAAGCGGCCGTTGCAGCTGTTGTTGTCAGATTCGATCTTTGTATGAAAGAGTAACTTGTTGAGTATTTTCAAGATTGTTCACAAAGCAGCCGTTGCAGCTGTTGTTGTCAGATTCGCTGATTTAACTGTGTATAAACAACAGTCACTGACGTATGTGTTGGAGTCAACCGGGCTTTAGCTCGCTTGACTTTGGGGTAATGTGGGTGTGGGCCAAAGGGGAAGTGGGGGAGGGAACAACTGGCACTTTAGCGTGGCACAGAGCAACTGGGTCTAGTGTGAGAGTACCCTCAGACTCAACACTACAGTATGGGGTAACACGTATATGGCACAATACATTTCCTAACATACATATATATTTACAATTGATCATTAACCAATCAAGAAGAATTTGTATTTGTCCAAAGTTTATGGTTCAACTCCAGTATTGTAATACAGATTTTTTTAAACTTTTTTTTTTTATTTGTTTATTTATTCTAATATTTTCCTTAAAAAATGTCTTCAGTTGACATTTCAGTGTGTGTCTGCCTGTGCTACCGCCACCTCCCCTGGGAGAAAAAAAAAAAAAAATCAGACAGACAGGACGAAGGAAACTCGCCTGTTTGGTCAACTCAGGCAGCGCTTTAGCAATGTTACGGCCACTTTAGAGCCCCTTAAGCCTTCTCTATGCGTGTGATGAAGTGTGTATGTGTGTGGACACACACGAACGTGCATACATACATACATACACATATGGGCGGGCCAGTCAAAAGTCAGCTTAAATTGGCTGAAATCCTTGCTGGAAAAATGAAGGGGCTCTGGGGTGAGGAGGGGGGAGTCGGGGGAGGAGGGGTGTTACCCTTTCATACTGTAGGAACCAGTGGGCACAGTAATGGCAAAACAATGATGTTCTCATGTCTGGCTTATCTCAGGAACACACACATGCACTCACATGTAAAAACACACTGGCAGACACACACACACACACACACACA